GTGACCTACGTGCGGAGCGGCCGGCGGGGCAGCGCCGCGCCCGCCTGCTGCGCCCCGCAGCCCCCGGGCAGCCGCCGCAGGAAGGTAGGGCGGGCTCGGGGGGAGCGGCCGCCGTGCCGCCACAGCCGACCGCGGCACCCGGGGCGGAGATGGGGCTGGTACCTGAGAGGAGGCGGCCGGGAGGGCGGTGGTGAAGCGAGATCGTGTGGTGAGATGGTGTGGTCGACTTCTTGGGAAGTGGTCAAGCGACTTTTTGAGCGGTGCCGCTCAGCTGCAGGGAAGCGGGAGTGTGCTGGAGCGGGGCTGGACGAGGTGAGAGCTCGGGCTGAGAAGGTGACAGTGACCCGAGTCAGGGTGGGCTCCGCAGGCTGACGCATCCCCAACAGGATCAAAGTTGGGCAAAGACGGCGGCCCTTGGCGTTCTTGGCATCCGAGTGCCATTGCATTCACAGAAGGCCGTCAATAAACGGTTCTAAGACCTGGTCTGCGTGAGAATTGGTGAGTTAGTGGACGAGCTGGTGAATGGACCTGTGACAAGGTTCCTGGGTGGCAATGGCTGTAAAGCCTTTGACAGAGTGAGGACAGTCATTAGGATCTGGAGTTGAGCAAGAGTGAGGAGTGCCTGTGTTACCCCCACCCCAGTCAGCTGCGTGTGTGGCCAGTAGCGGGATGTTGCCTTCTTCAATGATCTCCCTGTTGTCCTTGGTTTTTGCAGATTCCACACTCTCAGGAACTGCTGGAGATTCAGATAATTATTTTGTGGAGTTTTCTTTGCAATCTTTCAGGGGGAGAAGAGCCAGCTTTGAGGGCAGTGAAGAAATGGTTTGTTATGTACTTTGGGGTCCTGCTGTCAAGGTGCAGTAGAGATGGTCTCTGCAGAAATGTGCAGGTTCTTAAAGAAGCTGGAATGATCTTGAAGAGGCGCACATGGGATTTTGTTAGAGATGAGACCACCTTTATGGTCAAAGTAAATAACTATTTCTGATCTTTGCCCCAACAAGAATAAACCAGTTTTTTTGTGGAATGGCTAAAGCTTGTCCTTACTGCCTCGATGGAAAGACTACCTGCTAACATCCAAACCACCACCTGACCAGTGATCTCTCACAGGTCATACACGTGGTCTTAACTGCAAATCTGCTTTCTTTTCTTTGCCTGTTCCACCCCAGCAATGATTTTTTTATTTCATGAGGAGATGGACAATGAACTCATACATAGACTGACTTCTAGGTTTGGTTCATTTTCTGTGGGAAACTGTGATGTAAAAAATAAACTGCTACTTTCTGCCTCTGGTTTCCTGAAAGGTTTAGAAGAAATTAAATAATTGTTGACCACGCTTCCTTGACCACTGGCAGTGATGAGGACAACATTGCCACATATTTGTTCAGAATGATAACTATGTGGTGTTCTTTTGTGCCATGGTATTGATACCACTTTGAGGTACCTAGGTCTTGCAGTGTCAGTTTTTGTGACTTTTGTTGTTGATGCCCTGTTACTTGGCATTACCCTAAAGCGCAGCTTTTATGTGATTCTAATAATGGAAGAATTTCAGCATTTATGGAGGAAAAAGCCTGTAATCCTGTGGATTCAGAGAGTTTCTTGAAAATATGCTAAGAATGGCATCAAAAAACAAGAGGCAAGAGTAAGACACATCCTAATTTAGTTAATGGTTTTTGAGGAAATCCTAGTGCAGAAGTAGAGGAGAGGATGCTCGTTTTACCTGAGAATTGGCAGCACCTTGTGGTGTTGGAGAGCTCGAGGCTCTGGAAAGCCCAAGTGTGTTTTGGTGCACCTCCAGGTGAAGTGTGTGAAAGAAACATCACTGCTGTGGTTTGTGGTGTTGGGCATGTTTCTGCTGAGGTCTCATTTGAATCCCTCTAGTTAAGTCAAGGGAAAAATATTAGTATGTATAATAGAGGGTGGAGTTGTTGCCAGGTTAGGTTTGAGACCATCAGGTGCCTTCTGTGTTCAGCTATTTGACTTGAACTTGTTGCTTTAGGCTAAGAAAAATCTACTTAAAGGCAGGGTTTGGGGATAGAAGAACTAAACTTTGGAATGGAGTTGTTAAATAAAGATATAGAGGAAAAAGCAATGGTAAAATAAAGTAGAACTAAGTGGTCTGTCCTCTGACATTTTTTCATTAGAAGAATCACAATACCTAAAAATTTAATGGGTGATTTATAATTTTTTTTTTTTAATCAGGAAACATGGTATTTCACATCAGACTATTGTATGACAAGATAGGGACATTTTCCAAAAAAGGCTGCTTAAGTTGATGGTCCATGGCTTCTACCAGCAGCTCTGGAGAAAGGTCAGGGTGCAACAGCTGCCAGTGTGCTGTACCACTGAGTGTAAATGCTGCCTGGAGGAGAGGGACAGGCTCCATGCACAGATCTGTGCTGCCTCGGGTTGGGATTGCTTTTTGATGTGCCTTTTATGTGTTTTCAGTGTCTTCTGTCTGTCCATAGATTATTATCAGTCCATTCTTAAAGTCTGCAGCGGTTTTCAGGTACAGGAGAGTTTTCTCTCCTGCTGTTTATGGGGAAGGTGTTGGACTATGTTGGGATGTGTGAGCCAGCAGGATGGCAGCAAGGAAAAATCAGTGAGGCCAGACTTTGCTCTGTTTTCCTAGTGCCTCTAGGTTATGGCTCTGCTCACACTTACATCACTGAATTAAAGCAGAAGACTGATGAACAGAGTGTTTCCATAGATGAAGTTGAATATCCTACTTTGTGGCTGTTCAAAAAAAATAAATTGCAAAAGCACACAAGGAAATTATTTGGTGCCTGCTTTGAATCACTTTAAAGTTGCCTGAGCAGGGCTGTGTTATTTATTTCCCAAACACAACTGCAGTCATCAACCAACACCACCAAAAGGGGAAAAAAAATACACAGGATAGGAAAGATGGAGACTTGTCCATAAATGGTCCCTAAGTCTGTAGGAAACTGCCTGTGCTTTTCCTGACCACTGGTGAGGCTCTGTCACCAGAGACCATGGCTGTGCAGCAGTGGGAGGCTTTGACCACCACGGTTCCAAGCGTCTGTTTGTGCCTTAAGATGCATACATAAAAAAATGCTAACTGAAAGGGGTAGGGAATAAAGTAATTTAGCTGTGTGGCATGTCTGGGAGCTGCTGGAGCTGCCTGTTGTGGTGCTTAAGAGACCTGTGCTGCTCCCAGTTGAGCCTACCAAAGAGCAGATGCTGCTGCGCTTGCTGACAAATAACAAACAAGATTTGGCACTGATAGCATATGATGGTCATCTGAAGAGTCAGAAGAGTTTTGTTGTGCTGCAAGAGTAAAGCAAATGGAAGTTCATACTCCCACTTCTATTTGGTGGAAGTTCATAATTCCACTTAAAACTGCATTGTTGCTAATAAAATTAGGTTTTTAAACTGTGATTCTGAGATCTGGTTGTGTTAAGTACTGACCTGGTAATATATGCAGCAGGTGAAAACTCCAGCTACCTGGAAACACACAGATTCTGCCAGGTGTACCTGCTCCTGCAATAGGTATTAGCAGGGTGTGCACACACAGAGCGATGTGGAGGACATGTGAGGTGTGTTTTAAAAGGTTATTCCAGGGTGCCATGGCAAAAGAAAAAAAAATATTGCATTTGGAATTTGAAGTAATAGCAAATTCCTGTCACAATAATTGTAATAACAAGGTTATGTTGGCTCTTGTGCACTGAATTTGGGAGGAGCCCTCTTCAAGAGTCTGGTTGAGAAAAGCTGGAATTCCTTGCCTTCTGGGCAGATTTATTTCCATGGAGGTGGGGAGTGTGGTATGCTGCCAAACTTAACCTGATCTTATTTTGGATGCTCTTTCATGTCATCTCTAGGAATATAAAAGTATTTACCTTCAGTGATTAAAAGCAAAGACTAAGATTTTTGCTGCTGGGCCCATGTATACTTTGCCTGGGATTATAATGTAATTTGAAACATGATGTATTATTGCCTAAAACCAAAAACTCTTTTGAGATTTTTTTTTTGGTGTGTTCCTTTCATTTGTATACATTTGTCTTTTGGTTCATTATAAATGCAGACTAATTATATTTTGCTGCTTCTTGTTGGATTGAAAGTTGTGGTTTTCTTTAAATAGGAACTATTTCTAAGAGGTTTCTGCTCCTCTGCAGTGATGACTGATAACAGTTTCATCTTTAATTGTCTGCAAATTATTTTGGAGCGATATCTTTGAAATTATGTGGAATAACACATGTTTGGCACTTAGTAATACAGCAGGCTCATAGAAACCTCATTTGATTTAGTGTTACACTATTGCTAAGATTTTACTTAAATTTACATTTGGGTTTTAACTTTAGAATGACAATGCCATTTACATTGGTATCAGTGATGTGTAGGGCTTATGCCAAGAGTCCTTTTTAATTCTTCTAGAAATTTGGTTTAAAAAATGTATTGGATGTTTCCATTGCCTAATTGCATGCATAGTGTTTTCAAGCTGGCTTCACATCTTTAAAAGTACGGTAAGTTTTGGGTACTGCTTTTATAGGAAGTTACTCTGACTCTTCATGAGGAAGAGACAAAAATTCTTGGAGAAAACTTGGTTATTCTGAAGTTAAATTGATCCGTCTGTCTTTCTGAAGTTAAATTTATCCATGTCTTTCCACATCCGTGGTGTAATAGCTTGTCTGTTTTGGATTGGGATTCAACTTTTATAAGTTTATTAATTCTGTGTGCCTGGAGCAACGGTTTAACATTACAGCAGAGTTTGACACGGCAGGGCTTTGGGAGTTGTTCAGGGAGTCCCTGCACAGACCAGGCTGTGTCTGCAGGAGGGGATTTGCCCTGGCTGAGCCAAACCGAAGGAGCCACTGGGGTTAAAATGGCCTCTTGGATCTCCAAAGATCATTCCAGCCTCTCCAGCCGTGTCCCAGCGTGATGAGCTTCACAGAGTGCAGTGCTGTTCCCTAAGTGCTGTGGCGAGGAGTGAATAACATGCTGGCTTTGATGGATGGGAGTGGCGCGTGGGATGATTGATGCTGCAGGGAGCAGAGCTGAAGAGCTGGATATTGGTTATTCCTTGGAGTGTGCTACTTCTGGGCACCTTCTTTAATAACAGGTAGACAAAC